TAATATCTCGACATTGGGGGAATGTAAGTCAGTGAATATAAAACTAAAAATGGCAAATTTATTGTCTAAAATTATGTACAAACTCTAAACTACACATTGAAAAAACCGCATGTCAATCGGAGTTGAAACAAATGAAATATGCTTCTTTTATATGTTTCACAAAAATCGGTTCCGGCCGTAAATGTGGTTCTGGTTCCGGTTTTTAGACCCGGTTTACCCAGACTCGATGGACCTAAACCCGGATTACCCGGAACCCGGATAAAACAAATTTTTAAACCCGAAACAGGTTATGTATATTCCGGTTCTAACGGTTCCGGTCCGATTCCGGTTCTAAATCTCTTCCCTACCCTAGGCCAGGTACCCTTGTGATTGTTTGTTAGCTTTATCTATCCATTCTATGTATCTCACACTAGTGTTATTAGTATTTATTATTTTATTATAAATCTATTTTATTAAGAGAAAGCCAAATAAAAGTCAAGAAATCAGAAACCCCTTTTGGCTAAACCTGTAGTCCTTCAACACGACTTCACGGCTTCACCTTGGACGAGGTGGGTTGGAGGCGGACGAGCTGTAGTTTTTTTAGTCCTTCTCGTTCTCGACTTCACCTTGGAGGCTTGAATCCTAACCTACAAATTACAAGTAAGCTTCTGAGTTCTGACTTCTCATCTCAACTTGCCTTAGTCCTTCTCGAATTGCGATTTTTAGTCTTGGTGTGGGTCATCTATTATGTTCTGTTTTGTGCTTGATTTTCTCAAGTTTCCTTTTAGAAACTTAATTTTGTACAAAATTTTCAAGTTCTGATAGCGTTGAATTAGTTTAGATATAGATCTATAATCCATATGGTTCATGTTTAATAAACATCACATACATCAATCTTTTCCTAAAGAAGAAAATTGCATTGACTGGTGGTATAGGTTTTGTCCTGATAGCCACAAACACTATTAATTTAGTTGTATTATGCAATTATGTTGATCGGGACTTTAGTACACAACAAAGACATCCTTACATAGAGAAAATTCGTAATCAAGAGGGCTAAGTTTTGAATCATTGTTTTTCTTCTGGGCACCGTTAATCTTTGAACAGGGTAAGTGTAAATAATCAATAGATACGTCAGGCAGTATACTCCACAAATAATGCTTTGAATGATGAGGTTTTGTGATCACTTTAACCATTTGGTTTAAAGCACTGTAGGTATTCGTTAAAATGCATGAGTGAGACTGAATATAGAAATGTGGCTCATTAGATTTGCTCCTAATTCAGTATTTCCTGTATTTATAAGGGGAGCTTTTTACTGTCATGTATCTTCGTCGGGCATCATTGATGTTACATAAATCAAGAAGGTCGTTTAGCAGCAGCCATGATATTGCAAGCACCATTGATGAGCTTAATAAGGTGCATTTTTAATTATTTCTGTAACTTTAAGAATTAAATCTGTTTTTTATTTCTTTGATATCTGCACCAGAATGGGAAGATGTCATTGAAGAATTCCATGTTTTTATGTATCAAGAGACCCCATAAAAAAATTTAGACCATGTTCACTCTACTTATATTATTATATGGGATACTAATGATTGATGAAGTTTGACGTTATAGAAACGGGAATTCAATTAATTATAAAATGTTTGAAAATTTTCAGGAGATGGAATTTGTTTTTGGTGAAGCTCCACCTACAAGTCTTACTGGTTCCGGTGAAAGTCAACCTATATCCCAAGAGTCAGAGTTTACACCTGTTGAAAAAATAAAAATGGAAATGGAAAATGAATCAAAACTGAGCCATATTAGTGTGAAAGCCGAAGCTCAAATGGTGGATGTGTCTCAAAAGGATATTAGCAAGAGAGTTGCAATTGCAAGCTGCAAAGTTATTTTGGGGAAGAAAGTATATGACTTAGTTTCTGCCAATCATGTTGCAAAGGGAGATGTTCTTAGTGTAGCAAAGATAGCTGGAATAACATGAGCAAAACAGACTAGTAATCTTATCCCACTATGCCATAATATCAACTTAACTCATATTGGTGTAGATTTACGATTAAACCCTTGTGATTATTATGTTGAAATACGAGGGGAGGCTGCTTCAACAGGGAAAACTGGGATTGAGATGGAAGCATTGACAGCAGTTACTCTTGTTGGGTTAACTGTTTATGATATGTGTAAGGCTGCATCAAAACATATTCAGATTACAGATGTGCGATTGGAACATAAAACTGGAGGGAAGAGTGGGGATTGGTCCACGGAGAAGAAACAATGATTCTTCAGATTATGGATGTTAGTGCTAAAACATTTTTTCAACACCGTGGATTAGGTTGTAGTATCATCAGATATTGTTCTTAGTATTATCATTTGCTAAATCTAAAAGAAATACCAAACCCCTTAGAAATTTTCATCTTATTGCTAAACAGGAAAAATATATGATCTTAAACTCATTCAACAATACAAAAGTTTTAATTAGACCGGAGCAATTTGTGATACCTATCAGACACATATGTATACAACTAGAATATGACAAACACAAACACGACACAAATTGTTAAATGTGTTTTGTGTGTCAAACACACACACACACGGCACGTAATTAATCTGTGACTAGTGACAAGCCACAGTTAAACATGTTTTTAACTGTGGTACATAAAAATACGAACTTAATTTGGTTTTTATACATGTCGTGTGTCATGTGTTTATACGTGTCGTGTGTCAACACGGATTTAATTTGTGTTTAGAATATTTTAAATATATAAATAATTTGAATATTAGTCAACTCTATAAAAACAAAAACAAATTGTTTAGTTGAGAATTAAAATTTACAAACAAAAAATATACTACAGTTTAATATTTTATAGATAATTGTTTTTAGAAAAAAAAAAACATATTAAGGATTTTTATTGAGTGAAACTTTTTGAATCTATTTAAAAAACAGTTTAATAAACTAATAAATGAAAGAAATATAAACAAATAATAAATAATTTTTATTTGTTTTCAAAAAATAACCACACAAATCGCAAGTGGTTAGACTCATATGTGATTTCATGACTCCCAACTACGATATCACCTTCATGGGCCGCAATTGGGCATATTTTCGGCCCATGACCAGCCTAATATTGTGTAGGCATGAATTTTTTTTTTTTTTTTTTCTTAAATAATTGAAGGCTTTGTGTTATTTGCTTTGATTTGGTTTCTTGAATGCTTTATGGTTCAACTTTTTTTGATGAAATATGATATTATTTAATGTTCTTTGAGAAAATAGTTCAAAAAAATTAAATTATTAACTTTATCATTCAATACATCCATTCTAATCAAATAATATGTTTTCAATCAAAGATAGATTTTTCAACGTCTCTTGCTGATTCAGACATCTGTCTTATTCAGATCTTTTATAAACAGTTGTAGATATTTATTAAATAAAAAATAAATAAGAAGCTAGTAAAATATTACATAAAAATATTCTTAATAACCAACCAACCCATTTAATTGTTCTTTTTCCATTACTACTCACAAACCAATCACATGAATTATCAACAATTACTTCAAAAATCAACTTTTTTTTTTTGGCAATATAAAAGATTAATGCATTTCAATATTTCCAAAATAGTCGAACAAGTTGTCGATCAATATATCATAAAGCATTCCTTCTATTTGTAGAAACCAAGGCAATTTGCGCCCAATGCAAACAACCCCTAGTCCTTCCCGATTGTGCGTGATATTGTGGTGGGATACTGGTTTTAAGACCTAGAAAAAAAAAAAACGGGTCTTTAAACCAGTATTTCACTGCAATCTCACCAATATCCTGAGATCGGAACCGAAGCCGGTCAGATTTTCGGTCTTTAGACTGATTCAGTCTGGGTCCGACCCGTTACTCACCCCTATAGGTCCTTAATGTTGAGCCAACATTCACTAGGGGTGTTCGCAGTAGGGTTTGAAACCGTGAAACCAGCCAAATCGATCATCGGTTTGGTTTTACAGTTTGTATTTTTTTTTTCTTATGGTTTCAAAAATTTCAAACCATAATGAACGGTCTGACTTACGGTTTTTAAGATTTCAAACCATATAGAAACCAGACTGGGCCGATATATATATATAATTTAATTTTTTTTATATATAATTATATTTTATTGTATTATATATTAATTTTTATATACAAATAATAAAATTTAAAAACACATTTAATTAGCCCATATGTATACTCTAGTGTGAAAGTAAATGAAGCCCAACAAAGTCCATTTCTCCGACTCAAGCAATCGTTTGACACTTTGATTCATTTCCACTTTACACTTGCCCTACACCTAATCGCAACTCAAAATCGTGAAGCAAAGTCACGTCTCGACTGTGGTTGTTCTTCAGAGTCCAACTCCGACTACTTATTGTTTCCAGCTCCGAACTTGACATCAACAACAAACTCAACATGAGCTTATCATTCCAACTTCCAAACATAGCTAAGCTCCGCTTCCACCTCCATTTCTTTCCGGTTTAATCTCTTTACAGGTTCGATCCCACTTCATTTTTTGAATTCTTAACAATTTAACACACGATTTATTTTTTATTTTTTTCAGGTTAAATCTTTTCACAGGTTTAATCTCACCTCTCTGATTTCCGATTTAATCTGTCTACAAGTTTAATCTCTTTGTGTTTATGATATGTGGGCAGTGCTGAACTCAAACAGGTCCGAAATTAAAATTAAAGAACTTGTTGTGCTCTAAGTGCTGAACTCAAATAGATCCAGAAATTGATTCATACAGAATTATAGATCCTCATAAGTTTCTTTAGACCAAGTTAGTAAAATGTATATTTATTTACAGCATTCATGTTTATGCAAATAAAGCTAAATAATGCTTTTTATGGTATCGTAAAGAACTTCACGATGCAATAACACAAGAAGGTACATTATACTTTCTAGATTGTTTCATTGATCAAAGATTTTTGACATAATTTATGGTACCGCTACTTTTGCGTTTTCCCACCGCTTTTTAACACCTTCATCGTGGGTATATTTAAAAGGTATCTTTCTTCTGGGCCAGCCCATCGGCTACTTTTTAGCCCAAAATATGAACGATGGTTTTTCTTTTACCTCAATCTCATCAATCACCGATCCAACGTTTTTTTTTTCCTTGTGATTTCCCTCCTGTTCTTGCCTGATCGGCAAATCTCCACCAATAAATAAATTAAGCGACAAAGGCAGATTCTGGCTCTTGACCTCCGACCTGATAAGTAACATCAAAGTTGTCAATTCTGTAGGCTTCTCTTCCTATATCCTCTTTATGTGTTTCTTTGAAATTAACCTAGGGTTTATTTTCTGGATGACTTTATCATGAATTCTTTTGTTGCAAATCGATTTTACCTTGTCGTCGTGCTACTGCTCCTCGTTTTTTGGTCGATTTCAGGTCATCCTGTTTTTGTTCTTTATGTTTTGGTGTACTATTGCATCGCACGCTGTTATCATTCAAATTGCCTCGTTTGATTCTTTAATTGGGGTTTTAACCAGGAATATGAGGTCTTACATTGGAACTTAGACACCCTAGGCCAATTACCCTTGTGATTGTTTGTTAGCTTTATCTATCCGTTCTATGTATAGAGTTTGAATTATGTTCTTTAAATGGGTTATATTCTCTGTTGGAATTAGGATTTAGAGGGTTTATGATGTTTTCCAGTGACTTTCATAACTGAAGTTGCTTCTTTCAGTTGAGTATTGTCGGATGTTTCAGACTAATCTACTTTCAACTTCTTCTCAATCTTGAGTCTTGACACTTGCAATGGTCTCAAGATAAGGTTACTCGTATGCCACCACGATTCCCTTTAAGAGTTTAGTATCGGATCCTAACCTAGCATTGGTACCTGTTGTGTATGTTGAGCTAGTTGATCCTTCATAGTGATGAAACAATGATAAATTCAACTAACACGATGCTTGCATCAGATATATATCTAACAACATTGTTCTTTTGATATTTGAGCTCCTAAATCTTTGGTACTTCTGAGCATGTAAGTTTGTAAGCTGCAAGGACTTGCTATATACATCTTGTCATGTTGCCTACTTAACTTTAGCATTACTAGAAGCGTACATGTGTTTAATAATATGGTTTACCTGAAGAACAGGTAGAAGGCAAACTTGGTTTTCAAATGACATAGCAGCAGATCAAAAATGTATAAAGTTTTATAAAATTGGAACAAAAATTAATATTGAGTCGTAAAACCTCTTAATTAGGTTGGAATAAATCTAAAACTTGGTTACTGTTTAATGACATTGTCCCTCTGAAAAAAAAAAATAGATGCCTTAAATGCCTTAAATCTTGATAGGGAAACACCTTATAATGATAAAGTACCAAGAAAAAAAAAAGTCTTACATGAACAAAAATTCTAAAAAGTTTGTAATTTTCTCATTTCCTTCACTAGAGATCTGTAATCTCTAATCATCATAGTCTCCCTCTTCTTCGATATGCTCCTCTTTTAATAGAAGCTTTGACAATTGCTCAATTAGGTTATATAGGTGCCTTCAGTGACTTGTTCTCATTATTTTTAAATCCTTTTTTTTTTACAGGTTTTAGTTACATAAAAGAGGAGGATGAATTTTGCAGCTTCTTTGTGTAAAAGATTAACTGTTAGCAACCTGGTTACAAAAATTCCTGTCTACAGTTCTGCAAGAGGTACACCTCTTATAACCCTTTAATTTATTTATTTATTGTCTTTCCATTATCTTCTTTTAATTGTGGTAACATTTTTTATTATTTTTAACTGAATGATAGATGTAACTGGAGATGGATTAAGCATGATATTCAGACATTTTTTATCATATGACAGTTTCTAACTGTCATAAACTATAAAAACTGACATAAAACGGAAGTTTGGATAAGGGTCAAACAATGGTCAATTCTCTGAAAATACGATTTTCTGATGCATTTTTTATATAGCAACATACCCTATATAAAAAAAATTCCGCGCTGACCTGGCAGCTCGACCCCAGCCAGGGGCTCTGCCCCTTAGACCCCGCTCTCAGGGGCGCTGCCCCCGGACCCCCATTTGTTTAGGGGCGAAGCCCCTAAATGACAGTGTACTTTGAAAACTTGATCGAATTTAAACAAGTATGTACTCCACACCTTCCTACTTGTTTAAGATTTATCAAGATCACATTTTGGTCAACAAAGTAATCCCATTACACTTAAATAATTTTAATGACAACAAATCACCAACACCTAAACCAATTACCCTTGTGATTGTTAGCTTTATCTATCCATTCTATGTATCTCACACTAGTGTTATTAGTATTTATTATTTTATTATAAATCTATTTTATTAAGAGAAAGCCAAATAAAAGTCAAGAAATCAGAAACCCCTTTTGGCTAAACCTGTAGTCCTTCAACACGACTTCACGGCTTCACCTTGGACGAGGTGGGTTGGAGGCGGACGAACTGTAGTTTTTTTAGTCCTTCTCGTTCTCGACTTCACCTTGGAGGCTTGAATCCTAACCTACAAATTACAAGTAAGCTTCTGAGTTCTGACTTCTCGTCTCAACTTGCCTTAGTCCTTCTCGAATTGCGATTTTTAGTCTTGGTGTGGGTCGTCTATTATGTTCTGTTTTGTGCTTGATTTTCTCAAGTTTCCTTTTAGAAACTTAATTTTGTACAAAATTTTCAAGTTCTGATAGCGTTGAATTAGTTTAGATATAGATCTATAATCCATATGGTTCATGTTTAATAAACATCACAGACATCAATCTTTTCCTAAAGAAGAAAACTGCATTGACTGGTGGTATAGGTTTTGTCCTGATAGCCACAAACACTATTAATTTAGTTGTATTATGCAATTATGTTGATCGGGACTTTAGTACACAACAAAGACATCCTTACATAGAGAAAATTCGTAATCAAGAGGGCTAAGTTTTGAATCATTGTTTTTCTTCCGGGCGCACCGAACAGGGTAAGTGTAAATAATCAATAGATACGTCAGGTAGTATACTCCACAAATAATGCTTTGAATGATGAGGTTTTGTGATCACTTTAACCATTTGGTTTAAAGCACTGTAGGTATTCGTTAAAATGCATGAGTGAGACTGAATATAGAAATGTGGCTCATTAGATTTTCTCCTAATTCAGTATTTCCTGTATTTATAAGGGGAGCTTTTTACTGTCATGTATCTTCGTCGGGCATCATTGATGTTACATAAATCAAGAAGGTCGTTTAGCAGCAGCCATGATATTGCAAGCACCATTGATGAGCTTAATAAGGTGCATTTTTAATTATTTCTGTAACTTTAAGAATTAAATCTGTTTTTTATTTCTTTGATATCTGCACCAGAATGGGAAGATGTCATTGAAGAATTCCATGTTTTTATGTATCAAGAGACCCCATAAAAAAATTTTATACCAGGTTCACTCTACTTATATTATTATATGGGATACTAATGATTGATGAAGTTTGACGTTATAAAAACGGGAATTCAATTAATTATAAAATGTTTGAAAATTTTCAGGAGATGGAATTTGTTTTTGGTGAAGCTCCACCTACAAGTCTTACTGGTTCCAGTGAAAGTCAACCTATATCCCAAGACTCAGAGTTTACACCTGTTGAAAAAATAAACATGGAAATGGAAAATGAATCAAAACTGAGCCATATTAGTGTGAAAGGTGAAGCTCAAATGGTGGATGTGTCTCACAAGGATATTAGCAAGAGAGTTGCAATTGCAAGCTGCAAAGTTATTTTGGGGAAGAAAGTATATGACTTAGTTTCTGCCAATCAGGTCGCAAAGGGAGATGTTCTTAGTGTAGCAAAGATAGCTGGAATAACAGGAGCAAAACAGACCAGTAATCTTATCCCTCTATGCCACAATATCAACTTAACTCATGTTGGTGTAGATTTACGATTAAACCCTTGTGATTATTGTGTTGAAATACGAGGGGAGGCTGCTTCAACAGGGAAAACTGGGGTTGAGATGGAAGCACTGACAGCAGTTACTCTTGCTGGGTTAACTGTGTATGATATGTGTAAGGCTGCATCAAAACATATTCAGATTACAGATGTGCGATTGGAACATAAAACTGGAGGGAAGAGTGGGGATTGGTCTAGGGAGAAGAAACAATGATTATTTAGATTATGGATGTTAGTGCTAAAACATTTTTTCAACACCTTGGATTAGGTTGTAGTATCATCAGAAATTGTTCTTAGTGTTTTCGTTTGCTAAATCGAAAAGAAATACCAAACCCCTTAGATATAGGTGGATTTAAGGTGTAGTTTAGGAGTAGGTTAGATTTGCCGTTTCAAAAAAAAAAAAAAAAAAAAAAAACACCCCCTTAGAAATTTTCATCTTATCGCTAAACAGGAAAAATATATGATCTTAAGCTCTTTCAACAATACAAAAGTTTTAATTAGACCGGAGCAATGTGTGATACCTGGCAATCTGTGATACCTGTTAGACACAAATTTATACAACAAGAATATGACAAACAAAAAAACACGACACAAATTGTTAAACGCGTTTTGTGTATCAAACACACACACAACACACAATTAATCCATGTGACTTGTGACAAGCCGCGATTAAACATGTTTTTAACTGTATTACATAAAAATAAAAATTTAATTTGGTTTTTATACATGTGTGTCATGCGTTTATACGTGTCGCGTGTCGACATGAATTTGATGTGTTTAGAATATTTTAAATATAAAAATAATTTGAATATTAGTCAACTTTATAAAAAACAAAAACAAATTATTTAGTTGAGAATTAAAATTTATAAACAAAAAATATATTATAGTTTAATATTTTATAGATATTTTAAAAAAAAAAAAAAAAAACATATTAAGGCTTTTTATTGAGTGAAACTTTTTGAATTTATTTAAAAAACAGTTTAATAAACTAATAAATGAAAGAAGTATAAATAAATAAATAATAAATAATTTTTATTTGTTTTCAAAAAATAATCACACAAATCGCAAGTGGTTAGATTCATCTGTGATTTCATGACTCCCAACTAACAATATCACCTTCATGGGCTGCAATTTGACATATTTGTGTAGGCATGAAATGTCTTATTTTTTTTCTTAATTAATTGCAAGCTTTGTGTTATTATTATATGCATTTGCTTGATTTGGTTTCTTGAATGCTTTATGGTTCTACTTTTTTTATGAAATATGATGTTATTTAATGTTCTTTAAGAAAATAGTTCAAAAAATAAAATGATTAACTTTATCATTCAATACATCCATTATATTATATATATATATATATATATATATATATATATATATATATATATATATATATATTAAAGATGTGAAAAAAAGGAATAGTAAAAGATAGCATAATTTTTGTCTCTTTTGGTCTCTTAAGTTACATTCCAGGTCCCTGTCTTTTTTTTATGTGGCAGTTAATTACTTCCTTTCTAATTCTTGCTTACATTGGTCACCGTTCAACTATTAAAGGAACGTAACTCAACAGGATGCAATCTACGTGTTCCTCTTCTATGCATCCTCATCTTTTCATCGCCTCCTCCGTCCAATTACCTTACAACACTTCAACTCCAAATATATTCATTCCCTATCTTCTATTCGACGTATTCTTGATTCACCAAAAACCACCTCATATATTTCTTATTCTTACCGCTCCGTCGCTTTTCCCATATTCGTTTCTGGCTTTCGTTCATCTTAATCCTCCACTAGGGTTAGTTTACTTCCTCCACATCTTCTCGATTCTTCTGATTTTTCTTCATCTGAATAGGAAACGATGATGCGCACGTTGCAGTTTCAAAACTTCCTGATGTTTAGTTCAGGTTTGGTGTAGCACCTGGTTCCTGGTATGTAAATCTTAATTGAGTATTTTCCATTTTAAGCCTTGGACTCGGCGAGTCATAGGTTCGACTCGCCGAGTAGGGACGGGACTCGGGACACGTTTAAGTTGGCGACTCGGCGAGTCCATATACTGGACTCGGCGAGTCACCGCTGTTGGATGAAACCCTAAGTTTCAGGGGTTTGCACCCTATTTAATCCCCCTTTCCGTCCCTAAGCCAGCCCCCATTCACCCTCAGAGTCATATACCTCGTTCTAAGCCTTGTTTTGTGGATTTGAAGCCATTTGGTGTGTCCTCTTGAAGATTGGAGTGAGTAGGGAAGGAGATCAAGAAGAAGAAGAGGAGGTCAAGCACTTGTGAGCTATTTCAGAGTGATCTCTAAGGTATGGCTCGTTTTCCCCCTTGTCTCCATGCTTATGGCCCCATTAAAGTCCTTCATGACTCATTTCCAAGCTTGTATGTGCATCATATTTCGAAATAAGTTGATTGGCCTCTAGATCTAAGCATGGTTGAGCTCCATGAGCTCAGATCTACTACCTTTATGAGCCCATATTGTATATAAACCTTAGATCTACTCTTTTGGTGCATTTTGAACCCTAAAAACCCCATAGATAGATATTTACACGTAAAGTTGGAAACTTTACGTGTTATTCATGCTCTAGGAGCCCAGATCTACGAATGGCATGGACTGGATTCGAGCAAAATCGCATTGTAGCTCTTGCATGGAGCTGACTCGGCGAATCACTCATCTGACTCGGCGAGTCTAGTCGCGAGTCTCCGGGTTTGTCCCCTTTTTGCTATGTCGAGTTGTGTGGTGAGTCCAGGACGGACTCGGTGAGTTGGAAGCCAAAACTCACCCGTAGTGGAACTCGGTGAGTCGATGTCCAGACTCGGCGAGTTCAAGGCAATCTCCTTAGATTAAGATCAGACTCGGCGAGTTGTTCATACAACTCGACGAGTCACAGTATAACTTGTTCATCGGATGAAGATGAACTCGACGAGTTGTTCATACAACTCGGCGAGTAGGATGAAGGACTTGAACATTAGTTTGGAAGGAGAACTCGTCGAGTCGACGCCTAACTCGACGAGTAGAAACAGAATTCAGGTCAGTCGTTTGGACATGGACTCGGCGAGCCAACTCGGCGAGTCGGGTCAACTGGAAGTTGACCCTGACTTTGACTTAGGGCATGATCAGGGGTAAAATGGTCATTTTACCCAAAGGTCAGTTAGCAGTTTTTGACTAAGTGTTTGGTGGGAATTACAGTCGGATGATTTCCGGAACAGCAGCAGCAGCAGTCAGACTATTCCTACGAAGATCAGTAGCTACTTCGAGGTGAGTTGCCTTCTAGTAGCGGTGGGTCTAAGGCCACAATGTCGGCCCACCAGTAGGAGTTGTATGTTAGATGATTGTCTTTGTGATATCATCTAGGTTTGCTACTACCTGATATGTTATATGTTGGCATGATATGTTGTATGTGATAGTAGTAGAGTTCGGTTGCTAGGACCGAAGGGTAGTCAGACACCCCAGATATGTCTGATATTACGTTTGTGTTATGATATATGTGATGGTAGTAGTAGGGGGTGAAATAGGCCCCGAGGTTCGGTTGTTAGGATCGAAGGGTAGTCAGCACCCCAGAATAGCTCAACATGGGTAGATCAGCACCCCAGAATGGCTTGACACGGGTAGTCGGCACCCCAGAATGGCCGTACCAGGTAGTCAGGCACCCCAGAATAGCCTGGCAGTATGTATGATATGTATTGTATGGTATGTGGTACAATGGGGGAACTCACTAAGCTTTGTGCTTACATTTTACAGTTTTGGTTTCAGGTACCTCTTCATCGAAGGGGAAGGAGCTGGCTCGGTAGCGGCACATTATGCACACACATTGGTTTCCGCATTTACTAGATTTCTCTGGGATTTATACTCTGATGTTTCGATTGGTTGTATGGCTTGACTTTTGAACATGGTTTATGTTGTGATGTAGTTTGGTCAAACAATGTTTTTATTTATTAATATTTTCTAAAGTAATGTTTTAAAAACGAAATTTTTGGACGTGAAAATTGGGTCGTTACATTTGGGTCCCGAAGGCGTTACGCTTTAGTTCCATTATCTTCAAAGGTGTTCCCCACATCACCACCCTTCATGGTTATAATCGCCACCAGACCCGAAGCCCTTCCGCTCCAGTTTGCTACCTCAGTTCATCGCCATAGAACAAACCAAGTGTCTTCTCCTTTTCAGGTATCAAATTAATCTCCTAATACCTCAAATCGATTTCATTCTGTCTAACCCTAGTTTCAACACTTCTATGGTATGTTCTCGCAAACGAGACCTAATTCCATATGAGTTTGATTGATGGCGCGTGTTGACTTTATGGGTTGTCATTTGACTTTAGGTTTCATCAGTCCATCAACAGTCATTGAGCCATCAATGCGATGACAAATCATAACATACGTTTCGATTATAAATCCCTTTGTTCGTTTTTTCTCTTTGATGATTCAATTTGTACTCATTTCTACTTATACATATTGGCATTGTTTGTTTTTATGAAATATGTAGACTGCAGTACAAGGTGGACACAAGTGTGTGTTTCAGTGGTTTATACAGTTATAGACATCAACATTTACATTTAGGTATGATCAGGTTGTTTTATCAAAAATTTTATTCAAAATATAGTTTTTACTGTATTTCAAGGATACTCTAAGCTATTTCGTTGATGTTGTTTTGATACCCCACAAGGCCTGCTTTTAAGGGGTTAAGCATGATGGCATCAATCTTTTGAAAATGGAATCTTCATCGCCTTCCCTTGCATCTATTGCTTAACGACAAAAATGCTCCTGCTGCAGCATTATTAACCTGTATAGTAAAGAATCCTTTAAAAACCTTCTATTTATTCTCATTATGATTTTCTTATTCCAACAGAAACCTTCACGGTAGATGTTAAGTTGATTGAAATAGTAACATCTATCTTTAAACTACAAAAGACAAAATTGCCCTTTATCAATTTTACAGCACCAATCCCAGGTAAAACCAAACCAGAATCTTATACTTTCATGTCTAGCATTATTTTCATCCTCTATCTCGACAGAAAGTCTGCAAAATTTTTAAATGATGAAAACCACTAAGATTTTTTATAGAAAAAAGGAAAGGAAAGCATTAGACATTTAGATTAAGGTTAGCATACCAAAATGATGAGAAGCATTAGAATTAGAGTGTTGTGAATAAAGCTCGATGATATCCTGTGCGTTTAATTATTTCACACTAAGAAAAGAAATTGTCATGCTCTTTATCACTACAAGCTCACTATCTGATTATCTGTAAATTAACTATTATAATATAGTATGCATGCATTTCCCAAATGTGGCAAATTATAAGGGTAAATAATTTACGAAGATGATTTGTTTTTAAAAAATAAAAATAGATTTTTTGTTATATATTCTTTTAGATTAGATTGTATCAACTTAACTTAGACATTTGTGTAA